TATGATCCTGTTTTGTTTCTTTTTTTTTTAAAGATTTTATTTATTTATTTGAGAGAGAGAGTATAAGCTGGGAGAGAGGCAGAGAGAGGGGGAGAAGCAGACTCCCTGCTCAGCAGGGAGCCCGATGTGCAGCTCGATCCCAGGACCCTGGGATCAGGACCTGAACCGAAGGCAGATGCTTAACCGACTAAGCCACCCAGGCTCCCCTCTCTGTTTTGTTTCTTAAATTCTACATATGAGTGAAATCATATGATATTTGTCTTTGTCTGACTGACTTATTTCACTTAGCATAATACCCTCTAGTTCCATCCATGTTGCTGCAAATGGCAAGATTTTATTTTTTGATGGCTAATAGTCCATTGTGTGTGTGTGTGTGTGTGTGTGTGTGTGTATCACATCCTTTTTTTTAAGATTTTATTTATTTATTTGAGAGAGCGAGAGAGAGAGCGCAAAGCTGGGGGGAGAGGGAGAGGGAGAAGCAGACTCTCCCTGAGCAGGGAACCTGATGCAGGGCCTTATCCCAGGACCCTGAGATCATGACCTGAGCCAAAGGCAGCCACTTAACCAACTGAACCACCCAGGCACTCCCACATCTTTTTTATCCATTCATCTGTCAGTGGACATCTGGGCTCTTTCCATAGTTTGTCTATTGTGGACATTGCTGCTATAAACACTGGGGTGCAGGTGCCCCTTCAGATCACTATGTTTGTATCTTTGGGGTAAATACCTAGTATTGCAATTGCTGGGTCGTAGGGTAGCTCTGTTCTTAAGTTTTTGAGGAACCTCCATACTGTTTTCCAGAGTGGCCGCACCAGCTTGCGTTCCCACCAAAAGTGTAAGAGGGTTCCCCTTTCTCCGCATCCTCACCAATATCTGTTGTTTCCCGACTTGGTAATTTTAGCCATTCTGACCGGTGTGAGGTGGTATCTCATTGTGGTTTTGATTTGTATTTCCCTGATGCCGAGCATTTTTTCACGTGTCTGTTGGCCATTTGTATGTCTTCTTTGCAGAAATGTCTGTTCGTGTCTTCTGCCCATGTCTTGATTGGATTATTTGTTTTTTGGGTGTTGAGTCTGATAAGTTCCTTATAGATTTTGGATACTGGCCCTTTATCTGATAAGACAGTTGCAAATATCTTCTCCCATTCTGTCGGTTGTCTTTTGGTTTTGTTGACTGCTCCCTTTGCAAAAGCTTTTTATCTTGGTGAAGTCCCAGTAGTTCATTTTTGCCTTTGTTTCCCTGGCCTTTGGAGACGCGTCTAGCAAGAAGTTGCTGCAGCCGTCACAGAGGTTGCTACCTGTGTTCTCCTCTAGGATTTTGATGGATTCCTGTCTCACGTTTAGGTCTTTCATACAAGATACTCATTTATATTTTTTTAAGATTTTATTTATTTATTTGAGAGACAGAGAGTGTGAGCGAGAGAGTATAAGCAGGGCAAGCAGCAGAGGGAGAGGGAGAAGCAGGCTTCCTGCTGAGCAGGGAGCCCCACGCGGGACTCGATCCCAGGACCCTGAGATCAGGACCTGAGCCAAAGGCAGACGCTTAACCAACTGAGCCACCCAGGCGCCCCACAAGATACTCATTTAATTACAAAGGGGAAATAGTGCTTTTACAATGGAGAAACCTGGAAGGCACCACCTTAATCAAATGATCAAAGCTAACACCAACAATTTTGCAATTAACCAGTACTTTGAGCTTCCGGATATGCGGAAAAGAACACAGTCACTTCTGTGGAATTCCTGCCAAAAATGCATAATGCAAATCAAATCCTGAGGAAACATCAGATAAACCCAAATTGAAGGACATTCTTCCAAAGAATTGCCCTGTGCTCTTCAAAAACATTAAGATCATGCAAGTTAAGAGAAGACCGAGACATTGTTCCAGATTGAAAGAGATTAAAAAGACCAGATAACAGAATGTATCTTGTGACCTAGGATTTCCTTTAACTATAAAAGGACACGAGTGAAATAGGTGAGGGAAATTAAGAGGTACAAACTTCCAGTTATAAAATAAATCAGTTACAGGGATGAAAGGTACAGCATAGGGGATATAGTAAATAGTATTGTAATAACATTGCATGGTGACGGATGATAACTACACTTATAGAATAGTCAAATCACTGTGTGTACACCTGAGATTAACCGTAACATTGTATGTCGACTATACTTCATTTAAAAAAAAAAGGACATTATTGACACACTCACTAGGATGGCTATAATCAAAAAGTCAAATAACAAAGTGTTGGTAAGGATGTGGATAAATTGGAACATTCATACTTCACTGGTAGGAACGGAAGAAAATGTCCTTGTTCTTAGTAAATTCATATTAAAGTATTCAGTTGAAAGGGTATCATGCTTGCAACTACTATCAAATAGTTTAGAAAAGGGAAGCCTGGTGGCTCAGTTAAATGTCTGCCTTTGGCTCAGGTCATGATCCCAGGCTCCTGGGATTGAGCCCCGCATTGGGCTTGTTGCTCAGCGGGAAGCCTGCTTCTCTCTCTGCCTGCCGCTCCCCCTGCTTGTGCGTGCTCTCTCTCTCTCTCTCACTGACAAATAAATAAATGAAATCTTAAAAATATATATAAAAATAGTTTAGAAAAAATATAGATAGAGATGATAGAGATATAGAGGCAGAGACAGAAAGAAACAGAGAGAGATGTTATTATTATGAGACTTGCATTTTTTTGCCAATCTATTAAGTGAAAAATGGGATCTCATTTGTCTTAATTTGCATCTCTTTAATTATGGGGAGACCATTTAAAATGCCCCAGGAACCATAATCTGGAATGACCACAAAGGCTAAAAGATTTGGCAGATAACCCCACCCTTTACTAAGCTCCAGTGATAAAAATATGAAACACCAATCTAGTAGATGTGAAATGGAATCTAATTGTTGTTTTAATTTTTTTTAAGATTTTATTTATTTATTTGACAGAGAGAGAGAGCACAAGCAGGGGGAGTGGGAGAGGGAGAAGCAGGCTTCCCGCTGAGCAGGGAGCCCGATGCAGGGCTTGATCCCAGGACCCTGGGATCATGACTTGAGCCGAAGGCAGACACTTAACCGACTGAGCCACCCAGGCACCCCTAATTGTCATTTTAATTTTGCATTTCACTGACAACTAAAGAGATCGGGTTATTTTTTCATATACTATACATGTTGGTCATTTCAGGCGTCTTCTGTTCTGAATTACCTACTCGTGTCCACATTCCATTTTCTAGTGTGTTGTTTGTCTTTCTCTTATTGATTTGTAGATGTCCTTTAGATGTCCTAGGGTCTAGATACTAGTTCTTTGTCACACACATCAAAAGACTAGATGGAAACAATTAAGTCTGTGAAGCTCAGGGTCATCCATAGCGAGGATCTTCCAGTTTAAATGCTAGGTCTTACAACTAAGGGAAATATTTCTGGCATATGGTGCCGGTCACTCTTGACTCTACTTGAGTATGTTTGAAAACTGAAGAAAAAATTAAAATGATAATTCAAAAAATGTATGGTCTGTATTCTGCTGTTAAGGAAAGGAATTAGTGTTTGTGTCTGGACCATGTAATCATTCATTATATATGTGTATATATATATATATATTCTTACTGTGTTAAATATTTTTCACTTATAATACATGAATATTAATTTTATGAGTTAAATGCCTATTTAACTTTATGTTAACATTTTTTATTTTTATTTTTTAAAGATTTTATTCATGTATTTGACAGAGAGAGAGAGAAAACAAGGAGAGGGAGCAGCAGAGGGAGAAGCAGGCTCTCCACTGAGCAGGGAGCCCCACGTGGGGCTTGATCCCAGGACTCGATCCCAGGACCCTGGGATCATGACTTGAGCCGCAGACGCTTAACCAACTGAGCCACCCAGGCGTCCCTATTGTTAACATCTTTTAAGGAGTTGAAGCATCCATTCTCTTCAACTGCCATTGGTATTTCCAAGCAAAGAAGAGGTAATCCCACTCTTGTTTAACAGAAAGGGACACTGAAGCCCGGTGTTTTATCAATCTGATTAGACCCTGTTTTCCTTAGTCCCTCAGGTCACGGTGGGGTCCAGCTTGACCTGGGCTTCCTTCTCTCTTCCAACTCCTGCTAAACATGCAGTATGTGCCCAATAAATGCCCCCCTTTGTAATAATAAACGCTTCATCAGCCTAGGGACAGAGTGGAGTGTCAGACACTACAGGGTAAGGGAGGTAGACACCAGGTGCAGCATAAATCCTCAGTGTCGGTGCAGATGGAACTCAAAAGAAATCATTGTTGAGGGGAACTGTTAAGCGCTTTTTAAACATGCTCCCGGATTGATGCTCTGTACTAGCCTCCTAGTTCACAGGGAACACTCACTACTAGTTGCTGGGGTCACCCTCAGGGCAGGAGTGAGTCCAGTAGGGAGTTATGCAGGCATATCAGTTCTCAACAAGCCAAGTGCTCACGAGGAATCCCTAGGGGAAGCACAGGCGCCTAATTCGTGCTCCTAGGTGACACAGTAATTACGCTTCTGGCCCGTCTCTGCGGGTGGGTAGGGTTGGAGATTCCTTTAGTTCCCTCACCGGATGGGGAAGGAGAGATCTCGATTTATTTTCCCACCTGGGAAATGGGGGGCGGGGGGGGGACAAAAGTGGCCAGAAGACTTGCGCGGGTGGGCAGTCTGGCCGGGTCGCGGGAGCGGGCTTTCCTTCTCCCTCCCCCATCTCTCCCGTCTCAGCTTCTTCAAGGATTAGGAATCTGACGCCTGGAAAGTTTGTTCCCGGGCCGCCAGAAGACCTCCCGGCGCGAACCCTCAAGGGGCTGGAACGGCCCCAAGAGGCCGGATAGGTGCGGGCGCGAACGTTCCGCGCGCCGACGTCCTCCCGCGCCCCGCTCCTCTCAACCTCCCGCTCCTCCTTCCCTCGCTCCTCCGGCTCCCCTCCTCCTCCGTCCCCGCCCCTCTCCTGCCCTCTCATTGGCCGAGCTGGCCGGCCGGGCCTCCCCGGGATTTAAAGGGCCCGCTCTCCGCGCCGCCCAGGGAGCCGCAGCTGGTCCCGGCCTTGCGGCCTGCGGGGGAGGCTGCCCGGAGGAGGCGGCGACGGTGGCGGCGGCGGTGCGTCCCCGGCCCCCAGGACCGCGGCTTCCTTCCTGCCAGGTAAGTCGCCAGCAGTCCGCGTGCGGCTGCCCGGCTCCCATCCTGAGCCGGCCTCCCCGCGCGGGTCTGCAGCGCGTGTCCTGGGGCCCCCTCTCCATCACCTTTCCCGCTGCTCCAATTGCTACATCCCCTAGTGCCAACTTCACCTCCCTGCAGCTCCCGGGCTTGGGCAGAGCTTTGTTGGCGGCTGCAAGAGGCCAGGTGGGGGTGAGATGGGGCGCGCGGGGGATACAGGACACCCCCCACATCCGTAGAAGAAGAGATGCACACGGCCCCCAAGTGTCACAGGATCTCCCTCTTTGCCCTCCACACACAGTGACTCTACCTTGGAAACCAGGGGGGCCCCCGCATTTGATATGTGGGCCTAGAATGTACACCGTTCAATTACATCGGACCCGGACTGTTCACAGCATACGAGAGACACGGGTCCTTCATTCACCACAGGTCATGGGCTGTGTGTGTGTGCACCCAGGACGCCCATTCACACACACAGTTGGTGGCTCAGTCTGATGTACCTGATGTTCACACCCTCCCCCAGCCCCCCAGGACCACGACTCCACATGGACAGCCCCAAACTGAAATCTGAGTGTTCAAGTCCATCCCTTGAGCATGGTCTGCCCCATGGACATCCTGGCTCCCTCTGTCCCCACTTTGACAGGTCTGTCCATCTGTCCATCCATCCGTGGGGGTCCGCAATGGCCACTTTCAGCCGCCAGGAATTTTTCCAGCAACTGCTGCAGGGCTGTCTCCTGCCTACTGCCCAGCAGGGCCTTGACCAGATCTGGCTGCTCCTTGCCATCTGCCTCGCCTGCCGCCTTCTCTGGAGGCTTGGTAAGTGCTTGCCGCACCAGGTGCCGCCACACGAGGCCATGTCACACCTACCACATTTCATCCATCCCAAGCCACATTTTATCCTGCTACATCTTGCCATGCCAAGCCGGACGCCAACGCGTCTAGCCCACCACATCCCACCAGCCCAAGTGCCATTCCATTACACCACGTCCCGCTATGCCCAGCCGCCCCATGCCACACCACACCAAGCTACGTCCTGCCATGGCGAGTCATGTCTTTCAGTACGCCTGGGTTCTGGGATTCTAGAAAGCTGAGCTTCTTGGATCTTGGGATCCTGAAATGTCTCCATCCCAAGGTTACAAGATTCTGGGATGCTGTCAGTTATAGAATCCCAAAGTACCATGTTACAGGGTTTGGGCATTTTGACAAATTGAAATTCTCACATCCTAGCCTTCCAAAATGCTGGCATTCTGGATTTCGAGACTCCGGGCATGATGAGATTTCTGGATTGTAGGATTCTGGAATGTTTCCACAATCGTGGCAAGCCTATATCCAAACGATAAGATTCCAAGTTCCCAAATTTCCCATAGGATGCTGAGAATTTTGGAAATCTGAGATTCAAAGCTTCTATTACTTTCTTTTTCTTTTCTTTTCTTTTTTTTTCAAGTTTATTACTATTTTTTTTAGTAATCTCTTCACCCAACATGGGGCTCAAACTCATGACCCAAGATCAAGAGTTGCACGCTCCCCTGACTGAGCCAGCCAGGCGCCCCCCCCCTTTTTTTTCTTTTATTTTAAATGGATGTTTTTTTCCCCAGGTTCATCATTTTGAAATATTTCGAAGTTACTGAAAAGTTAAGCTGAGAGAATAATGTTATGAGCACCGATATATGCATTAGCAGATTCTCCAACTGTCAACATCTTGACACGTTCGCTCTATCTATATATCAATCTACCTATCATCTTCCTAAATCTTGTGAAGAACGTGCTGACACTTCACCCCAAACCCTTCAGTGTGTGCGCCCCCCAAGAACAAGGACATCTTCCCCCAACAAGCACACCCTCCACCCTCACGTCTCAAGAAATGTAATCTGGGTGCAATAATAATTATCCAACAGAAGTTGATATTCACATTTCCCCCAGGGTTCCCAAAATGTCCTTTATAGATGTTTCTTTCCTTTAAACCCAAGCCCTGCCACCTCTCTGGCTCCCCTCTCAAACTCACTTGCTTCGGGGGCCCCCCTGCAATCTCACCGAACATTCCAGCCTCTCTTCTGCCCCCTGCCCACTTGCCCTCCCTTCCTCCCAGCCCACCCAACTTCCCTTTCCTATTCTCTTTCTCTCTCTCTCTCTCTCTCTCGCCCCCGAAGGGTTGCCATCCTACCTGAAGCATGCAAGCACCGTGGCAGGTGGGTTCTTCAGCCTCTACCACTTCTTCCAGCTGCACATGGTTTGGGTCGTGCTGCTCAGCCTCCTGTGCTACCTCGTGCTGTTCCTCTGCCGACATTCCTCCCATCGCGGCGTCTTCCTCTCGGTCACCATCCTCATCTACCTGCTCATGGGGTATGGGCACGAGTCCTCCTCCCCGCGCCTTCGGCCAAGGGGCCAGCAGGGCCCCCAGGCCACTCCTCCGTGAGGCTGTCCAGGACAAGGAGGGCATAGGGGATGGGGGGGCAATCTGGGAGACTGGTGCTTTCTGAAGGCTCCGGTACTGGACAGGCTGGGCTTGGGCTCCCCCTGGAGGAGGCAGTCCTGGAGAATTATTCCTCCAGGAGATTGTGCGGGACGGGAGGGGGGGGAATATATAGCCTTCTCTGCACCGTGGTTTCCCCCACTTTGTGGTCTCTGAGACCATGGGAGTCATGGAGCCAAGACCACCTTTTTTCCGTAGTGAGATGCACATGGTGGACACTGTGACATGGCACAAGATGCGAGGTAGGCAGCCCTGGCCCTCTCACCTGCCCTGGTCGTCCTGCCCCACTCCACAGCTCCTAATTCCCCCAACCCTGTCTGTCCTTCCCCGCTTTTCTCCCTCATCCACCCGCCCCAGTGGACATGCGGGCCTCAGATTCCCCTTAAATCTGTGTCTCTCCCATGCCTCCCCCCCCCCCCGGCCGTTCGTCTGTCCTATCTCATGTACGCACGCGCCTGACACTTGAGTCAGGGCGTCTGCTGGTCCTGGACCCACCTGCTCACCTGCCTGTCTGACACCGTGCCCACCTGTTCACACTTGACCTCCTCTTTTCCTACCACCTCTCACCCGGTGCTCCCCATTCCCCAACACGGACCTGCTCTTTGCCTGTCCACTTGACCATGGGCGCCACACATAGGGGCCCAGATGATCGTGGCTATGAAGGCGGTGTCTCTGGGCTTCGACCTGGACCGGGGCGAGGTGGGTGCCGTGCCCTCGCCCATGGAGTTCATGGGCTACCTCTACTTCGTGGGCACCATCGTCTTTGGGCCCTGGATATCCTTCCACAGCTACCTACAGGCTGTCCAAGGCCGCCCGCTGGTGAGGTCCTGGGTGGACAGGTGGGCAGGGACTGTGGGAGCCACCGTGGGGCAGTGTTCATGGAGCCTTGATCCCCACAGAGCCGCCGATGGCTGCAGAAGGTGGCCCGGAGCCTGGCGCTGGCCCTGCTGTGCCTTGTGCTGTCCACCTGTGTGGGCCCCTACCTCTTCCCATACTTCATCCCCCTTGATGGTGACCGCCTCCTTCGCAAGTGAGCACAGCCTTTGAGGCCTCTGCCCAACAGTGAGGGGGTTGGGTAGGGACTTGGGGTCTCCCCGGCTCTGAGCCTGTCTCTTAATCCTTCTATCTGTCTTCTGTTACTACAGCAAGAAACGCAAAGCCAGGTAAATGAAGGCAGGTGCTAAGGGCGAGTGGGGCTGACTGGGGGTTGGGGGGGTCGCAGTCTGTGGCCGGTTTGTTCTGTAAGTCCGAGACTGGCCGACCATCTGTCCCACAGCTAGACAGAGACTGAGTGTCTATGGCTGTTGTTTGACCACGGTTGGCTCTGTGACTCTATATGACTGACACTCCCAACACATAACTGTGCCTGGCTGTCCATCTAGTCCACGGCTAGGAATAAATTATGTGACGACAATGGGGAGTGACAAGTATGTATTGGTGGGTGACGCCAACCTGCCTGTGACGCTGGCTGGGGGTGTATATGGGTTGTTTGCCTGTCAGCCACTCACCCTCCATGTGGGACTGGTGTTCCGGCTGTCTCGCTGTGCCATTGTCGATGATGGGATGTGTGCCTATCCCTGGATAAGATAAAGCGGGGTCGTCCATAACTCTGACTGGGAATGGGTCTGTTGTGTGTCTGTCTGTGATGGATTCCGCCTGTGAGTCTGCCTTCTCTGGCCACCTGGTGCTGTCTGGCTGAGGGCTCATGACCGACCGTGTGTCTGTGCCTGTCTGTGGGACCGACCATCCACCTCTGGTGCGACTGTAGGATTTCATCCGGCTGTTTGATTGTATGACCCAGTGCCCCACTCACTGGCCGCTGATGGTGGCTGATGCTGAATGAAGCTCCCAAAGGGTGGAAGGACTTGCCTGGGGTCACCCAGCTAAGCAGCCGGACATTATTCCCAGGCCCGATTCCAGAACCTACACTTTTTCCGGGACGCGGTCTCTTTTTCACCATGTCTGATTGTTCAGCTGACAGGATGACTGGATTGAGCGTAGCACTGTGTACGTGTACAAAGCAGGGTGCTTGGTGGGGTCTGTGCCGGAGTAAAGGACTCCGGGGTATCTTCCGGTCACTGGGTCAGACTGCAGAGCTGCGAGGCTGGGAGTCTGAGAGCGTTTGTGCCCGGCCCCGTGGCTGTGTCGGTGTGTGGCATGGTGAGGTCGGGCCTCTGACGGTGGCTGGGTCTGGATGTCTGGCCACGTGAGGCTACAGGACCGGGTCAGACGGTAGGGCGGCTCACACTTCTGTTTGGGGCGTACATATGCGTGTGACTATCTTTTGCCGCCATGTTTCTGTCTTGTCTACAAACAACTCCGGCCAGCCTCCAGGTCCTCTCTGACTCTCTTTCCTTTCTTCTCTGCTGCCTTCCTGAACCCTGGGGGCCCTAGGGGCACCATGGTAAGGTGAGTCTGCAGAGTGGGGCTGGGGATGCTGACACGTGGCAGGGTGTCATGCCGGGGGCCTAGGAGTGATCCCTCTCTCCCCCCCTACTTTCTCCCCAGGTGGCTGCGAGCCTACGAGAGTGCTGTCTCCTTCCACTTCAGCAACTATTTTGTGGGCTTTCTGTCCGAGGCCACGGCCACGTTGGCAGGGGCCGGCTTCACCGAGGAGAAGGATCACCTGGAATGGTGGGGAGGGCTGGGGGGGCCCCCCCTCCCACAGGGTGCTGCCTAGAGGAGCTGCAGGGAGGGGGGAGGGAGTCCCGGGGGAGGGAACCTCCAAGACGAAAGTATGGAGGTTAGATGGATGGGTTGAGACCCCAAATGAATTTGCAGGTCTCTTTTGCCTACAGGGACCTGACGGTGTCTAAGCCACTGAACGTGGAGCTGCCCCGGTCCATGGTAGAAGTTGTCACAAGCTGGAACCTGCCCATGTCTTATTGGCTAAATAACTGTGAGTCACCAAGTCACCACTCCAAGAGAGCTGGGAGTCCTCAACCCAGGCCCTTTTCCATTCATATATAACAAACATTTACTGAGAACCTATTGTGTACTAGGCACTGAAGATACTGCAGGGACGAGAAAAAAAAAAAAAAAAACAAAAACCAAAGTCCCTGGCCCCTGTGGAGTTGGCATTTTCGTGGGGCGAGCAGACAGAGAAAAAAAAAAAATATGTAATAGTTCAAGTAGTGACAGGTGCTATGGTAAAAAAAAAAAAAATGAAGCAGGTAAAGATGATCTGGGAGTGTTGGCAGGAGTGGGGGGAGGGAGTGTTGCAATTTTAAATAAATTAGCCAGAGCAAGTCCTACTGAGGAGGTGACATTTGAGCAAAGACCTGAGCAAGGTGAAAGAACAAGCAATGCCAACGTGTGGGGCAGGAGGGGAGCAGATGGAGGGAACAGCCAGTGCAAAGGCCCTGAGGCAGCACACTGGGCATGTGTCTGAGGAACAGGGAGGAGACCGGTGCAGTGGGAGCAGAGTGAGCGAGGGGACCAATGGCAGGAGGGGAGGGCAGAGAGGTGACAGGGGCCTGGGAGGCTTCATTGGCCACGGTGAGGATTGGGGCTTTTTCTCTGAGAAATGGAGGCACAGCAGGGGTGTGAGGGGGGGGGGGCGCTGAGGGCTGACTCGGGTTGTAACAGGGCCTTCTGGCTGCTGTGAGAGCAGACAGGGTGGAAGCTGTAAGGAGGCCATGGCAGGAGTCCAAACAAGCTACGGTGGTGGTGGCAGGGGATGTGGAGAAGAGAGGGCAGATTCTGGATACGTTCTGAAGGTGAAACTGACAGGATTTGCTGAGTTTGCTTGTGGAATATGGGGGTGGGGGGGCAGAGCGAGGGTGATTCTAGGATTTTGCCCTGGGGACCTGGACGAGTCTCTTGGACATTGGCTGAACTTGGGGGCGCTATGGGAGGAGCAGGTGGGGAGGGAAGATCAGGAGCTAAGTTTTGGACATGGGACGTTTGGGGCCATTATAAAGATTTTATCCTGGGGGCTCCAACAGGTTGCGGGTTCCTCGCCTTGCCCTCTGGCCCCCCGGGGAAGGGCAGAGGGGATCCCAGGAGACTCTTGACCCGCATCTCCCCCTTCCAGATGTTTTCAAGAATGCTCTCCGCCTGGGGACCTTCTCAGCGGTGCTGGTCACCTATGCGGCCAGTGCCCTCCTGCACGTGAGCAGGGCAGAGCGGGCTGTGGGGTGGGGAGAGCTGGGCGGGGGTGGGGGGGCAGGGCCTCCTCCTTACTCACCTCACTGCCCCCTGGGCCCTCCAGGGCTTCAGCTTCCATCTGGCCGCGGTGCTGCTGTCCCTGGCGTTTATCACTTACGTGGAACACGGTGAGTGCCGAGCCCAGCCCAGCAGATGGGACGGAAGGTGGGGGCAGGGCTAGAACCACTGTCCCCTGAGGCTAACCTGACCCCCCCCCCCATTACCTCCCGGCATCCGCCCCAGTCCTCCGGAAGCGCCTGGCTCGGATCCTCAGTGCCTGCGTCTTGTCGAAACGGTGCCCACCAAACTGTTCGCACCAGCATCGCTTGGTGAGGGTTCAGCCCGGGCAACCTCATGCCCAACACTCCCCCTCAAAAACGTTACTTCCGTCTCCATCTTGTATCTGTCTCAGGGTGCCCAGCTTCCTCTTCTGGTGCCTGAGCAATCCCCAGAACCTCACTTCTACTCACTGGCATCCATTTCTCTCACAAACATTTATCAAGCCCCTGCTGTATACACACCTGGCAGCCGTCTGCCCCTCCCCCCCCGAACATTTATTGAGCACCTGCTGACATCAGGCACTGTTCTAGGCACTGGAGACACAGTGGTGAACAAAAAAGACTAAAGTCCCAGCCCTATGGGACAACCATTTTAACAGATGAGACAGTAAATGTTTAAAGTCAGTAAAGTATAATAGTTTCTTAGATTGTGATGAATGCCAAGGAGAAAAGACATGAGGGAAAGGGGAAGGGAAGTATGGAGGGGGTGAGTGTTTTCAATTTTAAATAGGGAAGTGACTTTTGAGTTCTTTAACTGAAGGAGATGAGGAAGAGAAGCATTCCAGGCAAAGCGAGAACAATGGGTGTAAAAGCTCTGACATGGGAGAGAGCCTGGAATATTTGAGGGACAACAAGGAGGCCAGTGTGGCTTGAGCAGAGCAAGCAAAGGGGTAGAGTGGTGGGTCTCGTAGGTCATGGTGGGAATTTGTTTCAGTTTGTTTTTTCATTGTTTGCAATAATATGGACAACCTCAGGTTTGTCTCCCACCCGGCAACCGACGTTTATCACCATAAGCCCCCAGCTCAAGCCCCTCCATTCTTCCTCTTCTGCCTGAGCAGTCGCATCTCCCCCTGGATGCCCTCAGGCTAACAGTACCCTCATCCTTGGATACCTCTGGAGCTCCCATAGGAAGTTCCAAACCATCTTTTTCCTACCCCAGGGGGTGCCCTGTGCCCTGGACATCCTCATTCCTGGGACCCACTGGGCCTTGTGCATCTCCCTGGGCTCCCCTGCCCAGGTGGGGCTGGGGGACAGTGAGTAGATCCAGCTGCCAAGCATATCCATCTGTCCCCCACAGGGCCTGGGGGTGCGAGCCTTAAACCTGCTCTTTGGGGCCCTGGCCATCTTCCACCTGGCCTACCTGGGCTCCCTGTTTGATGTCGATGTGGATGACACCACAGAGGAGCAGGTGAGGTGGGGCCCTGGGCTGGAGGTTACTTAGGGATGTGCTACCTGCTCATGGGAACCATGAGAACAAAGGTGAAGAGGCTGAGGCATTAAGGACCTGGTGTCATGTGTCCATCTAGCTTGCAAAGCTAGTGCTCCTCGCTCCTTCTTTCCCAGGGTCATTCTGGTTGATTTGTCCTGTAGGGGCTTTTATTAGGGTGAAGCGTGCAAACTATGTTTATTTTACTTATAAAATTTATTTTATGGAGATGGTGTGCAAAATCCAGGTTTTACCTTTTTTTTAAGATTCTATTTGAGAGAGAGAGAGAGAGAGAGAAAACGGGAGCAGAGGGAGGGGCAGAGGGAGAGGGAGAAGCAGGGTCCCTGCTGAGCAAGGACCCCAACGCAGGGGCTTGATCCTAGGACCCCAGGATCATGACCTGAGCCGAAGGCAGCCTCTTAACCAACTGAGCCACCCAGGTGTCCCCAGGTTTTACTTTTCAAAAAATTAATTATTTCATCATATTTTTGTTTAGGTAGAATTCGCAAGGTTTCTTTCTTATTTGATTAAGGAAGTATTTTTACTCAGGTTGAATGTGCAAACTCTGGATTCTGCTTTAAAAATGCACATTAAAATATATGTACTATTTTTATTCATGTGGAGTATGCACATTCCAGATTTTACTCCTTTTTAAATGAAAGACGATTTTAAAAATACTGTTTCTTCATATGGCTCTTGCAGGATCCAGGTTTTGCTTCTCTCTTAGTTGAATTTTTAATTTTTAATTGAAAATAAAACTTTTATTTTCTATTTTGTCATTAAAAACAATTTTTAATCTTCATTCAGGTTGAGTGTGCAAAATCTGGGTTTTATTTTTATTAAAACATTTAAAAATAGCTAATGCATATATCACAAGGTTCAAAAACAAAACAGTATTCAAGATGTTCAGGGAAAAGTCTTGCTCCTACTGTCCACTTCCCCTCTTACAGGTAACTACTTTTAATCATTTTATTAAAATATCCTTCTAAAATATAAGTGCAACAGTATATTTATAATATATTTTAATTCCCTCCCTCACCCCAGGTTTTACCCTAAAATAACTCATGAATGAAACTGTTCTTGAAAATCTTCCACATAAGTACATGGAATGTCCTCATTCGTTTTCCATTGCGAGGATATGACAATATGACACAGTGTAGTTTGTCCCTTATCAGTGAACACCCAGGCGATTTCCAGCCCTTTCCTATTGCAAATGGTGCTGCAGCAAGTAATAATACCCCCGTACCCATGTGGATTCACACAGGTGCAGACAGGAACTATAGGATCTAGCCTCCATAGTTACAATGAAAAAGTTTCTTTTTTGCCTCCCCCACCAACCATGTGTGACCATATCTGTCGCCCTGCCAACAGAGTGCCTCTCAGACTTCCTGGATAGGTTTGCTGGTTTGAGAGGAGGAAGATTATGAGTGAAGCTGAGTATCGTTTCATATATTTAAGAGCCAGTGGGGTTTTTCCTTAGTGAGAATGGCGTACTCCCCTCCTTTGCCAGTTTTTTTTTTTTCTTTTTGAAAAATCTCTTTCTAGGAGCTCCTCCTGTATTAGGGAGAGTATGGGGCAGAGGATGGAATTGCCTTGTTTTGTTTTTAAAATAATATTTAAAGAAGAAAACATGAAAGAAAAAAAACACACACACACACACCGGAATCTGCTTACCTTTTCTATGTACCCAGTCTCTTCTCTGGGGCCTCACCTAGGGTTACCATGGAGTCACAGAAATGTCCTGGAACAAAGGATGGGTTTTCCTGAGACCTTTTTTTTTGCAAAGTGGGACTGTCACCTCTTTCTCTCCCACAGGGCTACGGCATGGCATACACTGTCCACAAGTGGTCAGAGCTCAGCTGGGCCAGTCACTGGGTCACTTTTGGATGTTGGATCTTCTATCGTCTCATAGGCTGAGGCACATCTGTGGACCCTCATAGCTCCCTCAAGACCCCTCCTCAGGGTGCCAGCTCTGATGGGGGATGAGGGAAGGCCCTATCTCTAATTCTTGACCCCTCTCCATCCTTGACCCCCGACACCCCTACACACACACACACACACACACAATTTCCATGCCTGTCGATCCCCACTCCACCACAAGGCGGGAAGGGGGTGGTCCCTGCTGGGGCCTGGGGTGGAGGATGCTCGGGGAAGCAGAGAGGGGGAGATCCAGGGCCTCCCCGCCTTCCTTCTCCCTTTTTATATACAGTTTGTTATTGTCAAATAAAAGTAGGAAAGATATAAAAGGCTCTTTCTTCACTGCTCAGTGGGGAATAGAATTGAGTGCGGAATGGGCACAGCACGGATAAAGGTTTGGAAGCTGGAAATCCTGAAGAGGGAGCAGGTCGTGATCGGTTCATGGTTTATTATTGTTCAGGGTTGGATGATGAGCCCGAGGACTGCACAGCCTGATTTGAGTGGAGCCAGGACACACTGGATAGTTGCATGTGGAGTGGGGCGGTGGGGGGGGGGGGGACCTGATACTAGCTGGCTGGAAAACTGATTGGTTTTCTGATTGGTTATTCTGACTAGGACAGGGAGGGGGAAAACAAGACAGATTGTGGGTTCTAATTGGAGAGGAAGGTCTGGGATAGGTCTGGGTTTTGACTGCGCGGTCTGGGGTGCCCGCTGCCTTAGAGTTACGGAGTTCGGGTTGGCCCTTTAGAGTTGGCACAGGGAGACTAAGGGTCTCCATGCCAATTGGCCAGCAAGGCTGAGGAGCCTGGGTTTTGACTAGTTCTTCTGACTTTAAGTCGGGAGAGGTGGAGATGCCCGCTGAGGAGTTGAGCGCCCAGGGAGAGGGCAGAGGCACAGTGTACAAGATGTGATCTGCCTGTCATATTAAGTTCCCTTGCCGGTTCGGGCATTAGTATTGAGAGTGCGAGAGACTCATTGACTGCTCTGCCTAAAAAACGAGGGCAAAGGTGAGCGAACACAGAGCAATGCTGACTCAACAGCAGATGGAGGATAAACACCCAATTTTCCGATACGACTGACTGACAATGGGATAGGGAAACTGAAGCCCGGACTCACTGCTGACGGGGTTCAGCCCCAAAACGCCCACCAACCTTGGCGGGTCCCAGCCTTCCCGCAACTCCTGACTGGGTCTCAACCAACAGCGAAAATGGCACCACGCATGGGGGCGGGGCCGGCGGCACAGGGAGAGCTCCTATTGGTTAGGAGCGGCACTGGCCGCCTTCCCAGCCCCTCCATTGGCCAGCTCCGTAAGGTGAGGAACCTGTGAGGGGATAAATCGGAACGAAGGAGTTTACGCAGGCAGCGCGCTAGCCTAGAGAGAGCCCGGAGCCTGCGAGCGAGGCCGCCAGGACCACGCTGCTGGGTGAGTGTCCTCCGCCCAGCCTGCCACTCCGTCCCCTAGCTCTCAGCTGCTAAACAGCCGGCCCTCGACGCCTGCGCTCGACCCTTCCTCTCCCCGCCCCCGCGCCGCCCCGTCCCACGCAGACACACACACTCCCACCGCCCACCCTACGCGCCTGCGCGAGACCCCCTGCTACCGCGCGGTTGTCCGGACGACAGAGGATCTGCCTTCTCATTGGGCAGCTGGCCCAGAGGCTTCTGGTTCTAATTGGTGGTCTCTGAATTTGACCCTCGTTTTCCTGTGTAGAACTGCGCCCAAGACCCCTGTCTTCCGCTTTCCTCTTTCTCTCGCAGGTCGGTGGCCTTATGCACGATTTCAGGAAGGGTCTGGCTTTCCACACACTGAACCTGAGGGTTGTAGTTCTGATTAGTTTTCTCTCTCCTGTCCTGCAGTTTCCAGGACTATGGGGGAGGGAATAGCTTTCTGTTGAAAGATGCTAGACCCTGACCCCTGCAGTGGAACCCAGCCTGGTCGCTGTGTCTCCCCCAGCCGACTGTGACCCCTGAGGGTGGGGACCACGCCAGGCCCATGTGTGTCCCCTATCCGGGCATGACCAGTGAGAGCTGGGACCTAGTCTGGTTCTTGTGTCTGCCCACCAGACTGTGACCAATGAAGGCTAGAACCTGGCCTGGTTCCTGTGTCTTCCACATCATAGGACTCTTGGAGGACTTAAACAGCCTTATAGTCATGATTTCAAAACAGCATATAATTAGATTACTTTTAATCCAGTCTATTAACTGGTCATTTGAGTCCATTTACATGTCTTGTGATAATAAATTATTTGGATTTGATTTTATGATCTCATTCTGTGCGTTCTATTTGCTCAGGTTTCTCTCTCTTTTTTTTTTTTCTCTCCTTTCTACTTATCCACACACAGCCATCAGCCTACAAAGACATGACCACCAACGCCAGCCCCTTGCACCCATACTGGCCTCGACACCTGAGGCTGGACAACTTTGTGCCTAATGACTGCCCCACTTGGCATCTCCTGGCCGGCCTCTTCTCTGTCTCTGGGGTCTTGGTTGTGACCACGTGGCTGTTGTCAGGTCGTGCTGCGGTCGTCCCCCTGGGGACTTGGCGGCGACTGTCCCTGTGCTGGTTTGCCATATGTGGGTTCATTCACATGGTGATTGAGGGCTGGTTCAGCCTCTACCACGAAGACCTTCTTGGAGACCAAGCTTTCTTGTCCCAACTCTGTGAGTCCTGGGTTCTTTGATGTGCTGTGGGAGGGAATTTTCTGGGCAGCGATTGGCTTAGATGTTTATTTCACCCACCAACTCTAACGTTAATTTATTTTAAAAACGTATTCAACTTTTTTTGTTGGATATATATTCATATGGGTCCAAAAAAACCAAACCATTTAAAGAGGTGTGCAGTGAAAATCTACCTTCTGTCTACCAAGTTTCTGTAGTTATTAACCAATGTTAATAATTGTGTATGGTTTTTTCCAGGATTTAGTTACACAAAATTACACGGATAAGCCTCAATTTACTATTTGTAAAAGAGGGATAACGGTAATACCCAAATATCTGTAAGTCACTTACAACAGTGTTGGCAGGGGAGCCTGCATGGCACAGTCCATTAAGCATCTGGCTCTTGGTTTCGGCTCAGGCCATGAGATCGAGCCCTGTGTCAGGCTCTGAGCTCAGCCTGGAGTCCACTTGAGATTCCCTCTCCCTCTGCCCCTCCTGCTCATGCACACACACTCTCTCTCTCTCAAATAAATAAATCTTAAAAAAAAAAAGACTTTAAAAACAGTGTTGGCAGATAGTAGATGCCTTAATTGTTTATCGTCATCATCATCATTGTTTTTTTTTTCCCCTTCTATGCAAGCAAATAGTAATATGGTATATACACCTCTGAACTTTGCTTTTTTTCAACGCGGTCACTCCTCATCAGTTCATAAAAAGCTTTCAAAGCATGGATGTTACAGAATTATTTGACTTGTCCAGTATTTTGGGGTATTTCCCTCCAACCTTTTTTTTTTCTTCAAGATTTTATTTATTTATTTGAGAGAGAACAAGCAGAGCGAGAGGGAGAAGCAGACTCCCCGCTGAGCAGGGAGCCCAACACGGGGCTCGATCCCAGGCCCCTGGGATCATGACCTGAGCCAAAGGCAGACACTCAACCGACTGAGCCACCCAGGCACCCCCAATCTTTTGCTATTATAAATAATATTCCTTTTTGGCCTCATGAATAAATTATTTTTCTGCTATTTTTTTTTTCAAAGATTTTATTTATTTGAGAGAGAGCACATGCGCACAAGCGCACGAGCAGGGGGGAAGGGCAGAGGGAGAGGGAGAAGCAGACTCTTCACTGAGCAGGGAGCCCGACGTGGGACTCCATCCCAGGACCCTGAGATCATGACCTGAGCCGAAGGCAGATGCTTACTATTCTTATATAAAACTTTGATCTAACACAAGTCTGTGTGGAGATCTGCTTTCATTTCTCTTGGGTAAATATGGAAGAGAAGAATGGTAGGTGTGTGTTTAACTTTATGAAAAACTGCCAAACGGTTTTTAAAAATGGCTGCACCATTTTATTTTCCCACCAGCAGTATATGGGAGTTCTAGTTCTTCCACATCCTCACCAACACTTGGTATGGTCAGGTGTTTCTTCAATTTTAGTCGTAGTGGATGCAAGTGATATCTCATTACGGTTTTAATTTGCTTTTTCTTAATAACTCATTAAAGTTTGAGCATGTTTCATATGTTGATTGACCATTTTGGAATCCTCTTTTATTTATTTTATTTAAAAAATTTTTTTTAATCCTCTTTTATGAAGAACCTATTCTTGTCTCCTGTCTGTTTTTATATTGAGTGGTCTTTTTCTTATTAATTCTCTGCTCATTTTTCATTCACTCATCTGTTCACCTTTGTGCTTGCTTGCTCGCTTGTGCACGTGCTCTCTCTCTCTCTCTCTCTCACACTCGCACACTCACTCACTCATTGGCTACTTCACTCACCCCATCACCTGCACTTGCCTTCTTTTATTCCACATTTACTGAATACCAGACATTCACAGCATTACTTATTGTTCTATGTCAGGTCCGCATACATTATCTTGTATACATATGTTCACTCTAGAATCCAGACAGCTACCCCACTTCTCAGATGAGGAAACTGAGGCATGGAGAGGTTATGAAGCCCACCTTACATGGGCCCTCGACTCTTGCACATCCAAGTTCCTTTTCTTGCCTTTATTCTTCATGTATGTCTCTTACCTTCTTCAGGGAAAGAGTATGCCAAAGGAGACAGCCGATACATCCTGTAAGTATTTGCCTCCATCAAGGGAGACCTCCATTGATTGGGGTGGGGGGTGAGTCGGGGAGTACTCATGGGGTGCCCTGTGGGTAGAGCACAGTGATGCCAGTGTTCCCCAACCCTTTCTCCCCCCACAGGAGTGACAACTTCACAATATGCATGGAGACCATCACAGCTTGCCTTTGGGGACCACTCAGCCTATGGGTGGTAATCGCTTTTCTCCGCCAGCAGCCCCTCCGCTTTGTCTTACAGCTCGTGGTCTCTGTGGGTGAGGAGAGGGCCCACACTGGGTGCTGGAGGGGTTGATGGGGGATCCACAGACACAGGGTATCTCTGCAGGGAGCATCGCTCAGTTGTGCCCATCCAGGGCTGAGTCAGGCTGAATGACATCCTCCTGAGGTTCTGGAACAGCCATGACCCTCTCGGTCTGTGTTCTCAAGTGGGAAAGGTTCATTTCCCTCTCCTCCTCCTTCATCACAGCGTCTCCTGTGAAGGTTACATGAGGTGGCGGGAAGCCCCTGGATCCTCCAGGGTTAGGATTCTGAGCTCCCTTCATCTGGCATTCAGTCCTCTTGTGTTCTTACATTGCTAGCTTTCTTTAGTTCTGGAATCATGCGCTGTCTTGAATTAAAGGATTTTGAGCTTCCTTAAATTCTGGAGATGGGAACTCTCCTGAGTTGAGAAATTCTCAGCTTCTGATTTCTGGAATTCTCACTTTTCTAATTCCTCAGATTTTCAGCTATATGATTTCAGAATTCTTAGCTCTCTAAATTTGGGAATCCTGAGCTCTGAGACCTTGAATGATGACTTAGAAAATGCCTTGGAATACCTTTTCCTCCTGACTGGGTTTCCCCTTCCCCTTCTGCCTCCCACAGGTCAAATCTATGGGGATGTGCTCTATTTTCTAACAGAGCACCGGGACGGATTCCAGCATGGGGAGCTGGGCCACCCACTCTACTTCTGGTTTTACTTTGTCTTCATGAATGGCCTGTGGCTGGTGCTGCCTGGAATCCTCGTGCTCGATTCTGTAAAGCAGCTCGCTCATGCCCAGAGCATGCTGGACACCAAAACCACAATATCCAAGAGCAAGCTGAACTAATAAGTAGTAGGCTGGGCTTGAACACTGGACGATGAGGAACCCTCCACCAGGAAGAAGAGTCCAGTCCCATAGGTTGGAGGGACAAAGCAAATTGATCTGTCAAACTCGGGTTAATGGGTAAGCACCAGAAGGGCCAGAGGCAGGGACAAAAAAGGAGCTGTGTGGAGCTACGGCCAGGAGCCACTGGGACAAAGGTACAGAAGAAACTAGAAGGGCCATAATGGTGGCAGTTTTTAAAATCAGGAAATAAAAGATCTTGACCCTAACACTGAGAGATCTTTAATTACTAACCCCAGAGATGCCCTATGACTGACCCCACAAACCCCTCCCTCACTCACTCATTTCACAGACCACTGTTCTCTCAGCCATAGACCCCCCCTGTTATCATCACTTAGACCTCCAATCTATAACCTCACGGGACCCCACAGAGTCCCGTGATGACTAATTAGATCCACGAGATGCCCATTATCTCACACCCTCGGTGTTCTCTCCAGAACACACTTTCTCATTTTTTGTAATATGGACAGGCTGAGAACTCGTGTCTCCTGATCAGGTGTCCCACAGACACCCCATCAATAACTCCATAGATCTTTCCTCACTCACCTCAGACTCCCCCATTACTCCAAAGACCCCACCATCACTTACCCCACAGACACCCATCAGTACCCTAAAGATCTCCATCACTCACCCCAGAGACCCCAGAAAACTCACACAAGACCCATCACTCACTTCACATACCCCATAACTTACCCCAACAGGCCTCTAGTCATATACCCTACAACCCCATGACTCACCCCATAGACCCCCCTCATCGTGTATAACACAGACCCTCTCAGTCTCCCCACAAATCCCCTATTATTTACCCTATAGGCTGTCATTACTTACCCTACAAACCCCTCTAAACTCACCTTGCAGAATTTGTCACCTCATACCCCTCAGGTCCCCAATTACCCCACAGATCTTCCATCACTCACCCCGCATCCTATCCTGCAGACCACCTACCTATTATGTATCCACAGATTCTCATCATTCACCCCACAGATACCTCTCACCCTATAGACCCACCCCTGTCGCTCCTCCTTAGTCTCTCTGTCATTAACCTCACAGACCTTGAGTCATAAAACAAATGGGTACTTGAGGAATTTTGAGGAGATGACAAAGAATGAAAAAAAACTGCAGATACCTGTAGACTGGCTCCTGGTGACCTGTACAGAGCAGGACTTCAATTCAAATCCTGGTTCTGCTCAAGCCTCCAGTATAGCTTTTGAGAAATGCCTCACTGTTAAAGCCAACGCCAGGCACAGCCACCTTCTGTCCATTGCACCTACTCTCTGTGCCACTTACTATCCCCTTGACCTTGAGCATGTTTCTCCCTGACCTTCAGTGCTCTCATATGTAAAATTCTAATTAGAGTACCTACCTCATTGGATTTTTATGCAGATTAAATGAATTAATATATGTAGACCACCTGGTATACACTTTGTATTTGTTGAATGGAAGAATAAATAAATGAAAGAGAAAGTTCTCCCCAGGACTATGATAAGGACCTCCTTTTTTGTTTCCTTGCTTCCAATAAGCAGTCTTTCCATCCAAGGCCCTTTCCACAACCAAGACAGGCATCTGACCACATTATACCCCCATTTAAAACCTGGGCTTCAGGGCCATCACTATTGAACTCCAGGCTAGTCTTTTGTTCATCCCACCCTATGTTAATTGTAATGAGAAGCAGACTCTCAAATTTCTAATTTCCTTCAGAAAATCCAGCAGAGCCATAAGAAGTGTTGTTTATTCAAGCACATGGGTCCGAAGAAATGTGCCAAAAACCCTTCTCTGGCTTTCAAAAAAAAAAAAATTCCCCATTATTTATACCTTCTAAAAAATTGACATCTATCTAATATTAATACCAAGGAAACAAATTATTTAAAAAGATACCAGAATAGGGGCACGTGGGTGGCTCAGTTGATTAAGTGTCTGCTGGGATCGTGATCCTGGGGTCCTGGGATCAAACCCCGTGTTGGGCTTCCTGTTCAGCAGGGAGTCTGCTTCTCCCTCTCCTGCCCCTCCACCCCAGCTCGTGCTCTATCAATCTCTCTCTCTCAAATAAATAAAATCTTTTTTAAAAAGATACCAGAATAGAATTGCAGACTTCTCTAAAAAGTTAAGAGTAGCATTCATACAACACTGCAACAATAACTCAAGTCCAGTCATCTTACAGGACTCCTTTGTTAGAAATTACACTTGTAAGGGCAGTCTGTATTTTGTCCAGACCAGATGCGTATGCAATGAAGTGAGAATGCCTTCATGTATTTTGTGATTTGAGGAATCTATAAGATGTTCAATCATTCAGCTGATATTCAGTAGACATACACTGTTTAAATTTTTTTTTTTTTAAGATTTATTTATTTGACAGAGAGAGACACAGCGAGAGAGGGAACACAAGCAGGGCTAATGGGAGAGGGAGAAGCAGGCCTCCCGTGGAGCAGGGAGCCCGATGTGGGACTCGATCCTAGGACCCCGGGACCACGACCCGAGCCGAAGGCAGACGCCTAACGACTGAGCCACCCAGGCGCCCGACATAACACTGTTTAATAACAGGACTGACCTCAACGTGTTGCGAGGATTAAGTAAAATGAAGGCAAACTTAAAAACCTAGGACCTGGGGCACCTGGGTGGCTCAGTCGTTGGTCGTCTGCCTTCGGCTCCAGGGTCCTGGGTTCGAGCCCCACATCGGGCTCCCTGCTCAGCAGGAGGCCTGCTTCTCCCTCTCCCACTCCCCCTTCTTGTGTTCCCTCTCTCGCTGTGTCTCTCTCAAATAAATAAAATATTTAAAAAAAAGAAAAAAGCTAGGACCTCCAGAGAGCATAAAAATAGCTTTTTTTAGTAAGTTATTTATTGAAATATATCATGCAGGGGCACCTGGGTGGTTCAGTCAGTTAAGCATCTGCCTTCAGTTCAGGTCATGATGCCGGGGTCCTGGGATCAAGCCCCACGGTAGGGCTCTCTGCTCAGTGGGGAGTCCGCTTCTCCCTCTTCCTCTGCCCCTTCCCCTGGCTTATGCACTCTCTCTCTCGCAAATAAATACAATCTTTAAAAAAAAAAGAAATATGCAGACAGAAACTGCAAAAGTCATAAATGTGCAGCTCTATGAATTTTCACAAAGTGGAAACTATTTTTAAGAGATTCTGGAAAAGGATTATTTTCCATTCAGCAGACTCATTTGAAGCAAGGGCCACAGGCTTTTGAAATAGATGACATCATCTGTTAAGCAGAGGCACGAGGCAACTCGGGGCGGGATGTGGGGCCTGACGTCATCGCACAGCAGCTTCTTTTCCCCGCCCACTTCTCTCGCCTGAGTAGGTCGTCATTGTAATACGTAGGTGAATCGGGAATTATGCTGCCCAGACAACCGAACCGCAGGCTCGGGGAGGTGGGACCTCAGTAGGCGCCTGCGTACTGGTGGAAGTGAGGCACAATGCACCGCTTTTGGGGGCGGGACACCTGGCTAGAGCATCTTAAGCGCGTGCGCAGAGGCCATCTCCACCCTGTGCTGGGTGGGAGGGGCAGTGGGGGGGCAGGGTCGCACAGCGCCCTCTGCGCCTGCGCCGGGGCGCAAGGTGGGGCCGCGGGCGCCCGCACTGTGGAGTGCTCACAGAGGTGGGGGGCAACGGTCAACCGTCGCCCTGAGGCGGGTGGCGGCGGGATGGCGTCGGCCTCTGGATCCTCGGATTTGGCCGGCTCTGGAGCGCCCCCACCTGGTGGGGGAGCTCAGGCGGCGGCGGCTGAGGAGGAGGAGCGAGAGGTGGTACGGGTCCGAGTCAAGGTGAGGCTGACAGTTGGTTGGCCTGCCCTCCTGGGGTGCCCAGGGGAGGGGAAGGCGGTGACTCTCCCAGGTTGGAGGGCGGGACCCGAGATTTGGGGTGTTAACCTGAGGGGCGAGGCTTGAGGGCAGAGTGATAGTGGTGGGGACGAGCGGGGGGCGGGGGGAGGCTGGACCTGGAAATGCTGGGCAGGGCCTGAGGACGTAGGGACTGAAGATGGAAGGGTAGGGGGCCTAAGGAATGGATAGGTGGAGATTATTGGTAGAGAGGAGGGGCCATAGGGCTGGAGGAGGGGCCTTAAATAGTTAAGGAGTGAGGGGGGCTGTTGGTGTCTGAAAAGGAGGTGCTGAAGTCAATTAACATGTATATTGAGACTGCACTTGTGTGCAGATTTACAGTCTCACCCAGGATGAGCTGACCTGCTTGTCGGGGAGACAGCTAAATAAATGAGATGCTTTGGACACTGGTGAATGTTGTAAGGAGATAAGGAAAAAGCTTCTGAACTAGGGAGTTACTTTAGCCAAGGTTGTAGCGGGAAGTCCCTAGAGAGGTATTGAAGGAGCAGAGACCCAAATACAAAAGGAATCAGCCCTGTGCGTTTTGGAGGAAGAGTGGAAGCAGAGAGAACACCAAGGGCAAAGGCTGGGAGGTGGGGATGAGTTTGGCATGTTACCTTAGGTTCCCACATTGCTGGAGCGAGAGAGCAAGGGCAGGAGTGGGTAGGGGGTAAAACAATGAGGCAAAAGAGGGGCAGATTGTGAAGGGCCTTTGTCATGTATTCTAAGAAAGCTGTTGCCATAGCTCCAGCAAGTGGTCATGGTCGCTGAGACTAGAGTGGTGGCACTGATGTTGGTGAGAAGGTAGATTCTGGAAAGAGGTAAACAGATTACCTCAGGGTAATACAGGAAGCTCTAAGGTAGAGGTTTGGGAATTCAGAAAAGAGATGATGGCCGAGCTGTGGGTGAGCCAGTTGGAAGAAAGTGGGAAGGACTTTCCAAACAGGGGGATCAGCACAAGCAAAGTCCTGGAGCCAGGATGTGTTCAAAGTAACTTCCAGCAGTTTGGTGGTACCAGAGTGTAAAGTTCAAAAAAGCTGACTGAAGAGAGGCTGGCCAGCGTCCTATAGGCCCACCTTCCGGGGACGCTGGGGTTGCCTTTGAAGAGATTTAAGCAGGGTAGTATTGTAGATAGATGTGCTAAATTGATGCAGCATGGAGTATTGATTTAACGGGGGCCAGACTGGACATGGTGATCCTGACAACCATCGTTGGGGGAACAAAGAAGAAGGATTGGGTGCTTGGACCATTGCAATAGCCTCCTCCTCACTGGACTGCTGCTTTCTCCCTTGCCCCCATAGTCTGTTCTTCTAAGAGCAGCCAGAAAGATCCTGTTAAATGCTAAGTCAGATCACATCCCTCCTCTGCACAGAACCCTCCAAGTCTTACCCCTCACTCAGAGCAAAAACCATGACCCAGAACACCCACCTCCATGTGCCCCTGCCCACAACTTACCCGACCTTGCCTCCTATCCCTCACTCTGCTTCAGTGTGGTGATGTGGCACCTGATGGCCCACCCTGTGTCTTCTCTCCCCAGAAGTGTGAGAGCTTTTTGTCACCTGAGTTCCGCTCTTTTGCCGTCGACCCCCAGATCACCTCACTCGATGTATTACAGCACATCCTCATCCGAGCGTTTGATTTGAATGGGTGAGTTATGGGATGCTGGGGGACCGACCATGGGGCCACCTACCTCAGCAGTGGTTGTTTGGCTTTTTTGTTTTTGTTTGTTTCATTATTACAAATAATCCCACAGTGAACTGCCACATTTGCATATCCTGGGATATTTGGGGAAATCTAGTCATAGGATAAATTCCTAGCAGTGGTATTGCTGGGTTAAAGGGTGTATGCTTTTTAAAATTTCAATGGATGTTTCCAAAATGCTCTCCAGACAGGTTTTTGCCAATTTACAATCTCCCAGCAGCATATAAAATGCCTGTTTCCCTCAGAAACACTGGTTACTAGAAAACATTGGAAAATTTGCTGACCTGATGGATGAAAAGTGGTGTCTCTTGGGGACAGGTGTGATGGTTATTTTGTTGTGGTTGTTATTTTGGAGGAATACATGCACATAGTAACAAAATCAAGGAGTACACAAGTGATGTCTACTTAGGACGTTTCCCTGGTTACAGTAGTTACACAACATACTTCATCACACAATTGCTCAAGTGTATCTGAAGAACAAATTCTTAGTTGTTATTTGACTTTTTTGCATAAACATTTTTTGTTGTGAAAAATAACAAACACACAGCTTGCTTTATTTTTTATGCAGTAGGAAGGCTGCTTTCTTCCCACTTCTATCCCTCAACTACCTGTCACCCTCCCTAGAAGGGATCAACATTTTAAGTTTTCAGTGTGCCCTCTAGATACAAGCAGGTGTGTATCCGTTTCTGTGTTTGTGTAACAAAGTAGAGGTAAACCATCTGACTTCAGGCAGCCCGAAATCCTTGGCACAGTACCCAACACATAGCAGAGAGTTGTTCAACATCATCTCTGCCTTCCCTGGCTTTTTGTGGAAACTGTCCCTGAGGCCTCCAGGGCCCTGGGGGCACTTGAGAGCTGCCACACCTCCTCTGTCCAGGAAGAAGAACTTTGGCATCAGCTACCTGGGCCGGGATCGGCTGGGGCAGGAAACTTACCTCTCACTCCTGTCTGACTGGGACCTCAGCACAGCCTTCACCACAGCCTCCAAACCTTACCTGCAGCTGCGGGTAGACATTCGGCCCACCGAGGACAGTGAGTACCTGGCTCCGGGCCCCACCCTTTCCCCATGGGATGACTCCCCCCATTACAATACACTCCCTCACAGTGGGCTTGAAAGGAAGAAGGTATCCTAGGTCCACATCCTGCCTTGGCCACTGGGCCTCGATTTCTTTACCTGTAAAGTAGAAATAATGGTATCTTAGGGCCATCGTGAGGATTAAACAGGGAAATTCATGTAAAATGCCTGGAACAATGCATGGCTGCATAGTGAATGCTCAAAAAATATTAGCTCTAGGGGCGCCTGGGTGGCTCAGTCAGTTGAGCATCCAACTCTTGGTTTCGGCTCAGGTCATGATCTCAGGATCATGAGATTGAGCCCTGTGTTGGGCTCTGCGCTGACTGCAGAGTCTGCTTGAGATTCTCTCTCTCTCTCTCTCTCACACTCGCACACTCACTCACTCATTGGCTACTTCACTCACCCCATCACCTGCACTTGCCTTCTTTTATTCCACATTTACTGAATACCAGACATTCACAGCATTACTTATTGTTCTATGTCAGGTCCGCATACATTATCTTGTATACATATGTTCACTCTAGAATCCAGACAGCTACCCCACTTCTCAGATGAGGAAACTGAGGCATGGAGAGGTTATGAAGCCCACCTTACATGGGCCCTCGACTCTTGCACATCCAAGTTCCTTTTCTTGCCTTTATTCTTCATGTATGTCTCTTACCTTCTTCAGGGAAAGAGTATGCCAAAGGAGACAGCCGATACATCCTGTAAGTATTTGCCTCCATCAAGGGAGACCTCCATTGATTGGGGTGGGGGGTGAGTCGGGGAGTACTCATGGGGTGCCCTGTGGGTAGAGCACAGTGATGCCAGTGTTCCCCAACCCTTTCTCCCCCCACAGGAGTGACAACTTCACAATATGCATGGAGACCATCACAGCTTGCCTTTGGGGACCACTCAGCCTATGGGTGGTAATCGCTTTTCTCCGCCAGCAGCCCCTCCGCTTTGTCTTACAGCTCGTGGTCTCTGTGGGTGAGGAGAGGGCCCACACTGGGTGCTGGAGGGGTTGATGGGGGATCCACAGACACAGGGTATCTCTGCAGGGAGCATCGCTCAGTTGTGCCCATCCAGGGCTGAGTCAGGCTGAATGACATCCTCCTGAGGTTCTGGAACAGCCATGACCCTCTCGGTCTGTGTTCTCAAGTGGGAAAGGTTCATTTCCCTCTCCTCCTCCTTCATCACAGCGTCTCCTGTGAAGGTTACATGAGGTGGCGGGAAGCCCCTGGATCCTCCAGGGTTAGGATTCTGAGCTCCCTTCATCTGGCATTCAGTCCTCTTGTGTTCTTACATTGCTAGCTTTCTTTAGTTCTGGAATCATGCGCTGTCTTGAATTAAAGGATTTTGAGCTTCCTTAAATTCTGGAGATGGGAACTCTCCTGAGTTGAGAAATTCTCAGCTTCTGATTTCTGGAATTCTCACTTTTCTAATTCCTCAGATTTTCAGCTATATGATTTCAGAATTCTTAGCTCTCTAAATTTGGGAATCCTGAGCTCTGAGACCTTGAATGATGACTTAGAAAATGCCTTGGAATACCTTTTCCTCCTGACTGGGTTTCCCCTTCCCCTTCTGCCTCCCACAGGTCAAATCTATGGGGATGTGCTCTATTTTCTAACAGAGCACCGGGACGGATTCCAGCATGGGGAGCTGGGCCACCCACTCTACTTCTGGTTTTACTTTGTCTTCATGAATGGCCTGTGGCTGGTGCTGCCTGGAATCCTCGTGCTCGATTCTGTAAAGCAGCTCGCTCATGCCCAGAGCATGCTGGACACCAAAACCACAATATCCAAGAGCAAGCTGAACTAATAAGTAGTAGGCTGGGCTTGAACACTGGACGATGAGGAACCCTCCACCAGGAAGAAGAGTCCAGTCCCATAGGTTGGAGGGACAAAGCAAATTGATCTGTCAAACTCGGGTTAATGGGTAAGCACCAGAAGGGCCAGAGGCAGGGACAAAAAAGGAGCTGTGTGGAGCTACGGCCAGGAGCCACTGGGAC